TTATGAAGTGAATTTGATGGTTTCCCATTTAGCAAGATGGAGAATGTTTGATGTGTTTTAGCAGAGGAGAAAAGGATGTCTGATGCAGTGAAAAGAAATGAAAGGAAAAGAAAGTACAAGTGGGACGTTAAAGTGAAGAGGTAACATACATGGTTTTATAAATATATTTTATATTTAATACATATAATAGCATTAAATAGGATATGTATTTATATATAAGTGGATAAAGATAACCATTTCCCCGGCCATCCATTTGTGGGAAGAAAAGAAACTTGGGCACGAGGTAATTCACTTTTTTATCTCCTCAATCACAGGCTTTTTGACTTGGTAATTCACATTTTTACTTCTGACAAAAACGACATGCAGATCACGTGTTATCCTTCGGAGTAAAAAGCAATTAACCCATGCTAATGCATATCTTTGTTTGGTACAACATCCCATGCATCTTTGTGAATTATCGGTTGCAAAAGATCCAACATGGAAAACCTCATCCAATAATGTATTTTGTGCATTTTAATGCTGTCTAAACTGCACAGCAAATTAAAAAAAAAAAAACAAAAAAACAAAAAAAAACAAAGCCGACGAGATCAACTAACTGAAATACCAACATTGATAAGTTGTCTCAATAATTGCATGTCTGAAATCAAATGAAGAGACACTTGAACACAGTATGAAAATAAGGCCGAAATACAAAGTTTTCCTTTGGTCTTAAGAGGTTAACTGTATCCATAATTCCCGAATGATTGATCCATTAGACACGAACTTAACAGTAGAACATGACACGTTTCACATTCTCCTTCAGAGCAGGCAGAGGCCTAACAGCAGCACTTGCTGGTCCCCGTGTGCTCCTACTAGCAGCAGCTCCAGCCATACCTCCTCGCCCAGCAGCTGCACCACTTGTCATTGAACCACTGTCTGATGTCTCTGGTTCCATATAAAATCGAGCTCGGAATGCCGCAAGATGAGCATAGTATGCAGGAGGCACTGCAAATTAGAGTACAATCGGTAAATAGAAAAGTTCAGTAGTAAAAACAACCAGGACAACTTAAAAAGAGTAAAGACATGACAGCAAGTAATCAAGCTTGTCAGGAGCACAGAAAATAAAGAACTAACCAATTGAAACAGAGCGTGTGCATCTTGCGTAACTGCAAAATCAAAACAGAATATCATACACCAACCATTAGAGCAATTATGCAATCATCTTAATAGGAATTTGTTACAGCTTCAGTGTAGCACACTTCAGCTAATTACAAATAAGGAAACCGAGGCAACATAGAACTGGGAACCATAC